ACATACAAACCCAATACCCACACACACATACACACGTATATTTTCACAAGCACAACACCATAACTTTTATAAATATGGGTATATTATATTAATATAGTTGACCGACAACTCAAACCACTATAAATACCTGAGTACAATGTTTATCCAGATATCAATTTAACTAGTATATATATATATATATATATATATATACTAGATATAGTATATATATATATATATATATATATATACCTTTGTGTTTGTCTATGTATGTGTATGCAATTATTTAGCAATAACACATTGTTGTATGTGTACACATACATCACTATTACTTATTACTTTAATAATTGACAATACATATATACATTACTTTAATACTAATTAACTATCTATCTATATATATATGTATATATATATATATATATGTATATATATATATATATATATATATATATATATATTTGTGTTGAATGTTGAAGTTGTTCATTTGGGACCTAACATGAGTGCGTCACCCGACCTACCGAATGAGTGAATGACTGAATGAAAGAAAAAAGAAAAGAAAAGAAAGAAAAGAAAGAAAGTAAGGAAAAAAGAAAGAAGAAACGAATGAACGAATGCTGACAAATGTTTGGGTACCCTGGTTCTCATTTGGTTCTCATCTATCAAATTATTTTCAATCAGTTAAGTAAGTAACAGTATATTTAGGAATCAGTCAGCAACAATTTTCTGAGAGGTCCTGTTCATACAGCCATCTGTTGAGGCAAGTCTTACAGTCTGGTTTATTTTTTATGCTGAATATTTTAAATAAAATTAAATGAAACTGTTTTTTGTACTAACATAAGTTGAAATGTTGTAAAAATTGACGTGAAATTTTTTCTTCTCTCAGTCTGATCCGATTTATTTTTAATTGTTTGTTATTTTTGTGCTAGTTTTGTTAAAAAGCGCTCTTAATTGCAAACAGAACTTGTTATCTGCTTGGCGCGTCTTCAAACAGCGCAAGGAGATCAGTGGAAGGAAACAACGAACAAAGATTTATTTCATTCGAATATCTCTTTCAAAATAATTTATCAAATAACTTTCTCTAGCACTGCACTGATATTTCACTAATTTTTAATTAACATATTTTAAACAATTCCTCAAAAAAGTACAAAAAATTAAGAAATTTCGACCTGACGATAATGGCGCTGATTCCAATAAAGAACGTTCTACTATTCACCATCTTCCTGATGGTCTTCAACAACCGATCCATCAACGTACTCATCTACTCCAACCTCACAAAGGACTGCCACAACTGTCTCGCCAACGGCCTCGTGGAGATCCACAAAGTGGAGCAGATCAAAAAAAATATCCTCCACAAGCTGAACCTCACGAAAGCTCCCAACATGTCCGGCCTGCCCATTCCCGATCTTCCGCACTTGAGGGATATCATAAGGGATATAAACAGACAGGCAGAGAGTAGGTTGGTCCCGAGGCAAGCCTCCGTTTCAAAACTCTACCGCTTCTCTCAGGACTGTGAGTTTGAAAAATTAAAATTTTTTTTCTTTGTTTTTTGAGTATATTTTTATTTAACTTTTTGTGTTTTCTTGGCGTTGTTTATTATCCTTTTTGTGGTTTTTATTCTTATCGGTTTCGTTGTAATAGTGGCACTGCCTCCATGTGGTTGTTTCTGTTGAGGTTTCATTGTTGCCTTAACTTAATGGCTTTGTTTTCTTTTTGATTTTGTTTGACTTTTTGTATCAACGTATTGTTATTGTTAATATTAATTATTATTATGATTTCTCTGTTAATTGTATATAATTTTTTATTAATGTGGATTTTGTCCTTGTTAATTTTGATGATGTGGCCGCCAATATTTTTATTATATTTTCACACCATCTGATTTTATGCACTTCGTATTTGAAATTGTCGCTTCTTGGCATGATTGTAGAGATTTGTTTAGTTAATTGTATACTTCCGATTGAACAATGTGACCTCGCGAAATTACTCCTACTTCAAACAATTCGCTCTTCAGCTGTTTCTATTGCACAAAATAATTAATCATCACTTGACAATCTTCAGCAACGAATTAACGAGGATTAATTACGAATTTTAAAACCTGAGTTCAGACAAAGGTTGATTTAATCAATCACATTTTATTGAAACATGTTTGCCTAGTGATAGCATATTATTTATCTGTCTAGAATTATAAAAATTGCCTTTTAAAGCATCGATCGCTTCAGATAAATTCTTTTCTGCCGTAACTTTACAGAAAATATGGGCTAAAGTAAAATTATGCCAAGAAGTTCCAGGCACAGCAATATTTGTTTAGATGTAGGCAAGCATTTCAACAAGGTACAATACACCATAAACGTGACCTAAACACATTAGTAATCACACACACACACACACACATAAACACACACACACACACACACGCACACATGTGTCAGTCAAGTATGCATGCATGCATGAATCTTAGTCCTTTTCAAATTTATTCTGTTCAAAGTATGTGTTGCGTGCCTGTAAAATGCGTGTATACATGAGTTCGTGATAGTGAATATTCGTTGACGTGTGTTTGTTTGTGTGTGTGTGTCTGTGTGTGAAAATATATATATATATATATATCGCAAATATAACTAAAACTACGCATTTGAGTTTTCTTATTATAAAACAGGCATGATAATAAAACAAGCTGCAGCAGCATTTACATTGTCGTGAGAATAAACCAACTAAAGTCTTAAAATAAACGCTAACACAAAATAACGCAAAATGATTAGAAACAAATAAATTTTCAACCAAACGTTCAGAAACAAGAACGACAGTAGATTAATTCATGCGATACAGATCACATCCCATGTCATTACATCCCATTACATCACATGTCATTACATTACATTGCACTTGAATCACATCAAACGTTAAGACAGATCAAACCGCATATCATCACCTTGAACGTTAAATTTCATCTCAGCAGCTTACAGTAAAAACCGACAGGGCAATGCACATTTTATAACAATTAGTTAATGTCATCCATATCATTAAATTTTATAACATTTATATAAAAGTGTCATAAGAAGCTCCCTCATGTCATAAGATGGGAGTGTGCTTTAGGAGGATTGACGCTCGAGAATTTTTACCCGTGTTAAATTGGTTCGCCTGATTTTCCATCTCCTTTTCTCTTATTTCTCTCCCGTTTCATTTTTTCTTTCTCTCTCTTTCAATTTTTCTCTCTTTCACATTCTCCTATTTTAAGATTTTAATCTTGTGATGGTTTTCGTTTGTGTTTGCGTGACTGTCAGTATATGCGTATGAACGCTTGTATGTATGTATGTATGTATGTATGTATGTATGTATGTATGTATGTATGTATGTATGTATGTATGTATGTATGTATGTATGTATGTATGTATGTATGTATGTATGTATGTATGTATGTATGTATGTATGTATGTATGTATGTACGTATGCCTGTGTGTATGCGTGTTTGTGTATATTAATATATGCATGCCTCATACACCACGATGATTTTAAACAAACGAACGCAGTGCCGAATCAGCCGCCCAACACTCCCCTAGTCTTCTTCAATCTGACCGACGTTCGCTTGCTGGTAGCGAACGACCTGAGCAAATGCACGCTGGGTCTCTACGTGAAGAAGAATAGCGCGGGCCAGGCGAGGAGGTCTAACATCCAGTTGTACGATGCAAGTACGGACAGGCTTCTGCACAATCATTCCATCGGCTTGGCAGACATCAACAAGTGGGTCAGTTTGGACGTTACGGAGCTGGTGAAGCGTTGGAAGTCTGGCGCGTCAGTCAACAGAGGCTTCAAAGTCGTCATGTCCGATGACAAGGGGGCTGGTGTTGCGCTGGTCAGTGTCAAACAAAGTGGAGACGAGAATTATGTTAGAGATTTTTTATTTAAATATTGTTTGTGATTTTTTATAATTATAAAGAAAGAATCGGCAACCTAAAAAATGCATATTTGCATTTGAACGTCTAAAATAATAACGGAATATAATTATTCGATGTAACTTTTTATATTTGAATCTTTAATCTACATTAAACAAAACTTCCAATTTATGTACTTGTACGTATGTAGTGTTAGTGTTGTTGTGTGTGGTGTGTGTTTGTTTGTCTCTCTCTTTCTCTCTGCCTCTGTGTGTGTATCTGCGTCCAAGCCCGTGGGTTTAATTCATGGAATGTTAAGAATTGAGCTTTAAAATTGGCTATGCAGCATTTACGTCATCATACAATAACCTGTGTTTACTCTTTATATGCCGTTTGAAATTTCCCTCTGTGAAGTAGAATGGATGTGTGACGTCACCGACTTCAATGCTGTTTTTGCTTTTTGTAACGCGTAAAACAGAAAAATTAGTCAGGGTGATCTAGCCTAAAACTGCATAACCCGACTTTAAACATTTCAGCTTTAAACTAGAAAAATTCAATACAAACAATTTATAAAAATGAAAGCGAGTTGAAATAAAATGAAAGTAAAATAGTTACAACCTTGCAGATGCCAGTGTTGGAGATGGACATCGTGAAAGCGACACATCCTCGTTCGAAGAGAGGTGCCAACACGTGTAACTTCGACTCGCAGATGTGCTGCACCAAAGAACTCATCGTCAACTTCACAGAAATTGGATGGAATTTTGTCCTAGCTCCCAACACGTTTGGCTCCTCTTTGTGCTTAGGTCTACTGCGTGATTGAGTACATTTCATTGTGGCAATTTAAAAATTTGTTACGGTCTAATTAAAAAATGTTACCCTCTATTAATATGATAAATGTTTTTTACGCAAAATTCAATTCTAGGAAACTGCCCGAACATCACCATCCCGAGACCGATAATCATCTCATCGGACAACCCCGTCCCTCAGAACTGTTGCACGCCCTCGCAGTACATCCCCCTCACCATCATGTACTTCAACAGCATCAACAGCATCCGGATTGAGACCATCAATGGCATTGTCGCCAGAGAATGCACTTGTCCCGTTACTCCTTTATAGGAATTCGGATTTCGTCCTGTAGTACCGTTATAGGCACTCAATTTTTTTGAATTCTTTTTGGTAATTTATGTACAAATTAGTGTTTATAATGTTTATATTTATTTATTTATAATTACCTTTATGTGTACCTACATGTTCTGCACACGATGAATTTAGCAGACGATATTTTTCCAATTTTAAAAATTTCAAATCAAATATTCTCAGTGTTCAAAGTTTTTTTTTTTTTGATAGTTACCAGTTTTTATGTTAACGCATGGTTTTAACATTTTTAAGATTGTTAATTAGAATCGTATGTGAAATTTGGATTAAGGAATGTAGTTCATTGTGTTGAATGTCTTTCATTACAACTGGTTTTATTTGTTTCACTATGTGCATACATGTTCAATATATAATGTTTCAGGTATAATTTATCGATTCGCAATATTTTACATGCATTTTTAGTAGTTTTCAAACATCAAATGTCACTTGTTCATATTTCTACATACACATGTACATTTTTTATTTTTTTAATTGTTTAACATTTTACAGTTTTTACATCGTTATTAACGTGCAATTTTAAATGATACATTGCAATAAATACGTTTCTAAAAAAAACTCTTTGATTAATTGTGAATTTATACGTACATTAAAAATAATCACACTCATGCTTATTTATCGCCAAATCCTCTTTTGTCACCGAATCCTCTTTTGTCGCCGAAACCACGCTTGTCGCCGAAGCCACGTTTGTCGCCGAAACCACGCTTGTCGCCGAAACCACGCTTGTCGCCGAAACCACGCTTATCGCCAAAACCACGTTTGTCGCCGAAACCCCTTTTGTCGCCGAAACCACGTTTGACGGTCTCATAATCTAAATCAAAATCCTCCCCTCTGTAGATCTGTCGACGTAGATAATCACTGAAGTTAGTTAGGTTTAAATCATCAGGCGTTTCATTTTCCTCCGTGTTTTTATTCTCATCCTCGTCTTTTTCAGTGATTTTGTTTTTAAGTGAGAGCGGCGCTTCGCTGTTGTTGCGGATGTCGGAAGGATGGAGAAGGTGGTCGATGGTGTCTTCATTCGTTCTGTGGGCTTTCCACGCTGATGCTATCGAAGTGGAGACAGAGTACAACATCAGTGCTAACAGAATTATCTTCGACAATGATAACCTCATTTTGTTATATTAGAATGGAAAAATTACGTATTTGTGTTTGTATATATATATATGTTTTTTAAATATTTAATAATGCTGATTTTGTTACTCTTCATGAAAGTCTGCCTGTTTTCATTGCCTTATATAGTCTTGCCGTTCTACACGCTTTGTTTAGTTGTCTTCTCATGTTTAAAATTAAAGATTTCATTAGTGTTGAGACTGCTGACAAATTAAATGCTGTCAAATCGGGATTGAATGCTCTTCAAGAAGCCAGAGACATTGATACCTACGGCATTTCGTGACGAAACTTTTAATTTCAAACAAAATTTCATGTCACTCTTCTTTACAAGTTTTTTTTCAAGAAAAATTTTAATTAAACATTGTTATTTTTGTTTTTAAAAAGTATATTCATTTATATTCTTTATTTAAAACTTTGTTTTTTTTTTATCAATAATTTTTCAGCAAAAACTGTGGAAAAAATGAAGAAAATATTGATTGAAACGGTTCCCACAAAAATTAGAATAAAAATACTCGAATATTTTTTTAAATGTTCAGTATTGAGATTACTTAAAAATAATTTTACGATGGTTACACTCGTTTTAATATAATACATTTTGCCTGTATTTATCTATATTCTAAAAAATAATATTTAAAATTAAAAAATAGAAGCGTTTATTAATCGTTTGAAAAAAAACATGAAAAAATGTTAAGATTTATGATAAGCTGACGATGATCCTGAACAACATTTGGAGACATCTGGATCAGCCAGCCGTGCTTCAGCCTTCGGGAATTTCATTTTAAATAAAGTTATTTCATTTCCCTAAAAACTATTTATTATTATTATTTACATTTGTTTATTTTTAAAATTACACATAATTAATGATATTACATCTATTTAATTCTATTACAAATTCAATAGTCGTCAAGTTGAACGCAGCTGCAAGTATTACAACTTTTAAAACTTCAAACACAAGTTACACTAAGTTTTTTTGCGTACGCCAAGTTTGTTTACCAGAACCTTTATCAAAATGGCAAAATAATAAAAAGATAATGTTTATAAATTTGATCATGTAAGGATCCAACACTGAAAATCCGTTTTCGACGAATCCCTGATTCGTAGGTATACAATTTAAATTTGAATGAGTGAAATCAAAGCAGGTTTAGAAATAAATTATTTTTAATAGCTGATGCAGTTTGCAACTTCATTTAACGATATTATGTACCTACCACCTACCTACCAGTACCACATACTTTATTACCATTACCACCTCAACCAACACAACGTTATAATAACGATCGGATCTCGTCATGTCAAAATTATTTTTAGGTCACACAGTCAATGAAGATCCGCACTTGTGCATATACAGCGCTTGGACTCATCTAGATCAGATATCGAAGATCTCAAGTTCCTGAACACTTCACATTCCTACTAAATAATATTACATATCTCTCGCCAAGTGACAACGATGACGTATGATTATTTTGTCTTATTCTGAATTCACTAAAAATCGCCCATGTAAAGATCTTGCAAGTCAAATCAATCAAATTCGTAATTACAATGCGATTCAAATACGAGTCTACGTTTACTGGAAACTTGACCAAATTTTGATCAAAATTTTTGTCGATTGACTGACTGAGAAGCGTTACAAAACATGATTAAAAGATATATGACTAGTTCTACCAAAAGAATTAATCAAAAAGTAACAAATTATTGTCTCTAAGTTAAATAAAAAAAAGTAAAGAACGAAACCATCAGAAATCAACTTGGAAGACAGAAAAGTGTATATGACAAAGTCAGAGAAAGAAAATTGGGATTTTTTGGTCACATTTGTAGAATGAGAGTAGACAGATAGTTTAAGATGGCACTAATGAAGAAAAGAGATTCGAAGAAAAAAGTTGGCAGACCTGCAAAGAAATGGATAGATGACATTACTGAATGGAGTGGTGTTGGTTTTCTGAATTCAAAAAAACTGGCAAAAAATAGAAAAGGTTTTTGGAAAGAAAAAGGGAAAAAATATATGTAAAAAGCATGCTTAGATGTATACCATCGGCCTCGACGGTCCACTGATGGACATAGGAGGATCACTGATTGATTGATTAAAGTTAAATAAAAGTTTCCAACGCCGATATACAACAGCGCATTCGACCAATTTTCAACTTATAAAATTTAAGATTTAGCTCATCATGAAAGTTTTTGAATATGATTTGTTTTTTAATTTGACAAAGTGGTCAAACCACTCTTGGAAAATCCTCGCTTGCAAAAGTTGGAAGTAACGACGACAAATAAAAACAATGCACTGCTAATATCCGCTAAGAATTTTTTCAATATTATATTACTTTATAACATTGTAAGTAATTAAAAATAATTAATCGATAAAGAGAAATAACTTTTCCGTCGGCAGTGCAGAGGACTGTGGTGGCGTACCTGGAGCAGTGCCACATATCAGTGTCGCAGTAGGACGAGTAGTCGGATATGCCCGGGCAGGAATAGTAGCCACAAAGTGACCAGAGATCCATAAATCCACAGGGCTCTACGAAAATGTCGGGGCAACAAACCACATTTATTAAGTCATCTCCGCAGAACTGAACAATTGTTTTTCCCAGTAAGGATTTCTTCTGTTTTTTTTTAATTTTATGAGTTTTAGATTTGAATTTATTCGAAAGCAATCACACTCAAGATAGGTAAATGCAAAAGACAATTTCATTTTAATTGTTGTTTTTAAACATAAAATTCAAATCATGTGACCCGCCCAAAAAGACATAATTATAAACAGTATTAAATTATAAACAGTACCTATCAACATTTTACAAAAAGTATTAACATAATTATAAACAGTATTAACATAATTATAAGTAGTATTAACATAATTATAAGCAGTATTAACATATTTATAAGCAGTATTAACATAATAAGCTGTATTAACATAACAGAAGTGTCAAACCAGATATGGAGATCTGTTTGTAACTCTTAAAAATCGCCCACTTGGTTCGATATAGGAAAGCGTCAAACAATCTTTAAAAAATAGTTTTTTGAATACAATGAAACATCCAACATGTTTAGACACTTATATAAATAATAATAAATAAGTATTGAATAACTTAGAAAGGAAAAGACTACCAGCAAAACTCGACTCAAAGTAATCGTTGGGATTCGGTTCAAGTGTCGGTATGATGTTGTGAATCGGCATAACCGACTCGCATCCGTTACACAGACAACCACAACAGTTAGAGTCACAGCAGTCGTAACAATTTTTGTAGATGCACTTGCAGTAATCTATATTGGTGACGATTCTGCGCTCTTGCACGCGATTAAGCATCATAATGGAGAGCAAATCTTTCTGGCCCAGCGAACAACCCATCTATTTTTGCTTTTACTGTCTATATTTATTATTAAGTTAGTTAAATATATCACTAATACTTTTACGGTAGAATGTTGCTAATGTCATTGAAAAGCTTCAACTGAATTTAAGATGTCCCTTATTTTTAATTTTTGTAACATTGTGACTGTTTGTAGTTTATCTTTTTTGTTTTGATATAAAGAAAAACAACAGCATCATCTCGTTCCTAGATTTAAATTCATTCTGTAGAGTCTAATTAGACAAACAAACTTTAAAAAATTGGTTGTCTACTTTTGCTTTTAAATGGTCTTCTTTCGAATTACATGCAAAAAATCATAATAATCATAATATAGTCCTTTACAATGAAACTGTAAAGTTTTTACACCAGTTTATCAAACAATATTATCGAAAAAACACTCTTTATTTTTATGTTGAAATAAGTTTCAAAAAATGCTGAAATCATCTTTTTTCATACTCAGGTTCGGGAATTACCCATACAATGTTTAAGGTATATGGAATTACCCAACATATTCATGAAACTTCTTGACGCATATATCCATTTAGAATTAGAATCTACATATATAGAAATCATATACTCATTGTATATGTATTTATCTAGTCTGTTTTGTTGCATAAGAGTGATGTAATATGCATAAAATTAATGAATTTTTTTGTACATTGTACATTTGTCCCACTAAGTGAAAGGATATTTTTGTGACTGAGTTTGTTTAGGAAATGCACAGTAAAAAAATTCTGCATTTTGATTTCTTTTAAAATGAATTAGAATCCAAAAGCTATTAAATGTAAGTTAAGTATTATCCACTCATTATAAAAGGAAGCTTCTGAAACTTTGTTTGGTAGATCTTGCAAAGTAATTTTTAAATGAAATATTTAATCAAATTTAGTTTTTAAATTGAATATTATCTCGTTTTATATCTAGAAAATTAACATATTAAAAATTAAACTGGCTCTATATTTTTTGTCTGAGTTAAATAAATAATGACCCGTCTTACTTACTTTTCTTAAACCTGCTTTGACATTGTAGTGTTAATGACGATTGTACATTTTCGTTTTATTTTGCAATTAACAGATTTTAAATCTGGAATTCTTTGAATTGAACTAACAAAGGTGAGCAAATTATTTGAAGTTATTTTAAAAATGGTTTCAAATATTTCTGCATCAGATCAAATTTGCATTGTTCTGGTTCCTAGGGCATTGTGTTTGTATAAGACGGAGGGGGGAGTCCAATTCTAACTGTAATTTTCCATGATTTTATTTACATAAAGTTTTATTTATAAACATTTCCTGGTCCGGTTTTGATTTCGTTATTGGGGGGTGGATGATCTTTGGAGATAATTCACATTAATTCTCATTGCTAATTCACTTTTTTGAGGTTTTTTCATTGCTCAGATGAATTTGTTTATTTTGATTTTTTTTTCTGTTTAGACTCCATTGTAAGAAATTATTTTTCAATTAATTTTATTAATAGTTTTAACTTTTAATCAACGTTTTAAAACTTAAAAAATATTTGGTTAATTTGTTGAGTGGAATGAAAAATGTCTGTATAGTTATTTTTGTGTGTGCTTTTAGTAGATGTTCTCAAAAAATATTTTAAAAATTTTTTTATAATTTTAAAAATTTGGCTTTTTGCATTTTATTTTCTTTCTTTTTAATTTTAATTTAATTTTAATTTCATTTTAATAACTTTTAGTAATCAGTTAAGACTTTTAGAAAGTTAGTGTAGCTGCATAGTTTCTAACCAATCAAAATGTTTTTCATGCTTGTCTGACTGAACTATTTGAATTAATAATTTAATTTGATAGTTTTTCAAGTAATAAAATCTAAAATTACCTTTGTATTTTGTACAAGTATCTATCTGTGAAATTGTTAATTTCCAACATTTGTTCATTTTTTAAATATAAAAAAATGATTTGTTCATAATTTTATTTGAAATTTATTTGATTTGCAGGAAAATTTTTCGTAGCATATCTGCAACTTTCAATATAATGTAAGTAAGGAATTACATTCTAAAACTTTTTTTTATTGCATTTTAAATATTAATAGTAAAGTCTTTAAAAATTGTAAAATTTTGAAATTTTGCCTAAGTATGTTCATCTTAACTTTAACATTATTTCATGAGTTAATCAGTATTAAAGGTAGTGTGCTACTTTGAAGTTTGAATCAATAAAATATAATCTAAGGATTTCCAGTTTTATAGTCATTATTTTTTGTTATAAAACTTTCAATAAATTTGGTTGATTTTATATAAAATCATCTTTTAATTTTCAACTAACTCATCAGGTGAAAGACTGCTTGAGGTGAGAACTCAGAGAAGTAATAAAAAAACATCAAAGACCACAAAACAAATGACATTGAGTTAATCTGAATGTACATTTTCTGATAAAAATGGGGCTGGATCATTTGGAGACCTGCAAGCTGAGACTGCAGCAGCAGGAAGATGTGGAAGCTTACAAACTGCCCATCAAATCTTTTGAGGATGAAGAAAATGATGGTGCTTGTAACAACTTTGACCAGGATTATCTCATTGCTCAGGTTCATTAAGAAGTTAATGAGGGATTTGAAATATTTTGTCATTGGGTCTGTCTGGTGTTGCTCTCTTAGGTTGTCCATTGGTGTGTAACTGAAATTTAGCAGTTTTCAGATGTAATAGTGTTGATGTTAATTTACTTAATCATTGCTCTGCTAGATAGTTTGTGATTGTGATGAGATGTTTTGATGTTAGTAGTAAATATGGTTTGGCTAGTGAACTGTGTTTTTTAATGTTCAAGTGTTGTTTGTAATAATTTATTTTATTGAATTTAGATAAGGACCATTTGAAATTTTGTTTTATGATCTGTTGTTTGATAATTTGACTTTGTTCACAGTATTTATATTAGAGTTTGAATACTGTTGTTTTTCTATTGATTAAACAATTTTGAGATGAAGACAAAATAAAAGCTGCAGGTGCAGAATTAATTTTAAGTAAAAATTTTGATAGATCAGTACAGGCAAGTGTGAACTTACAAAATACATTTTGATAGTTACCTTCCTAGTTTTAATTGCATGCATTATGCATGCTTTGTGGGGCTTGCACATGCAAGCATATCTGCATTATTACAGTCATGTTAACCACACATGTTTTATTCTCATCCAAATATACTATGCTTGTTGGTGCACTATTATTATTTTCATCATCATCAACCCAGAGTTAAACATATTAAATATTTTCACCATGAATCATCTCTGATTTAGAGCTGGCTGGTCTTATCAAATATGTACATTGTACATGTACAGTACATACTCTCTCTTGAATTTGCAGCTTGTCTGTTATCTGCTTAGTTTTTGTTTATTTATTTATTTGCTTGTTTGTTTTTGTGTTTGCATGCATGTTTGTGTACTTGTTTGTTTGTGTTTGTATATGTAGGGCATCTTTGTATGTATTTAGGCACTTTTTTTTATGTTTTTTTTCATGTTAAATGTATAAATGTTCAAATACGTTGTGTATGGTTTTTTTGGTATTGTTTTACAAAGGATATAAAAATTCATGAATTTATTTATGAAGCTACCCTTGTAACAAGTGTAATTATCATTACCACCATCATAATTATTTTAACTAGCTCTACCTGCCATGAAGTGACTGTGCTGATATAAGCAAATTGTTTAATGCCATAATGCCATATAGCAGCAATTATATGATAAAAACATTTGTGATGCAGTTTTATAATTATTATAAGTCATATGTTATTTGACACTCTGAAGTAGCCTGATGTTTCAATTATAATTTGCTATAGCTGAGTTTATAGGTGTTAGCTAAGAGTGAATGAATGGATGAATGAATGAATGAATGAATGAATGAATGAATGAATGAATGAATGAATGAATAAACAATAAACTTTAACATTTATTTTGTGAGGATTTTGTTAGGTAAGAGTGAGTGTTTGAGTGAATAAAATAATAAATGAACCCTATTTAGATGATGATTCATGTAAGTGATTTTTCTAAATGAATTGAACAATGGTTCAATGCAGCTATATAAATTAAAAATTTATCAATTTTGTATTGTTTTCCTATGAATTTAGTTACTCACTTGATGTCATTATTATTTTTGAAATATTATTTTTTGATCCTAAATAAATTCTTAGGCTGAGGTACTGTTTAAAAAGGGAGCCATATATCAAAAGATTGAGTCTGTCATGCAGATTATTCCACAGAATTTATCACCACCATCATCACCAGTTGCAGCAGCTGTTAGCAATGAAGACTTCAGTACTCTTTCTACTGCTGCCACCACTGCTACTACAACAAATATACCTACCACCTTCAACAATTATTTCACTGCCAGCAACAACAATATTACTACTAATAATAATGTTAATTATGATGCTTCTAACTCCAGCATTAATGGTGATAATGCCCCAGATGTCTTCTTGGAGAGGAGTCTGGCTATCAGCTCATTGAGATTTCTTAATATTTTTTATAGTTTGCCATCAGAAGTATTCTTTTTGTCACAGAGTTTATTTGATAGTCTTATAAGCAAGCTTCAAGTGAGCTTAATATTTTTTTTTTATAATTCTGCCATTTATTACTGTTAATAATTAAAAAGTTATTATATTGTCATATTTACTGCAACCTACTGTTATGACTAATTACTGTTGTTATATTACATTCCAAGCAGAATTTGTAAAAAGTTAAAAGGATATTTCATTAATACTAATTTTGTGTCTTGTTCAAAAATGTGCATGCTACTTGTAAATAAACTATCAATTACAGATAGGAACACTCATCATTTTAGATTTAGGCTAATGTGAGTTAAGGGCTTAAACAAGAGCCAAAATATTAATGTGTGTACAAACATGCTAGGGTAGTCCATTCATCTTGCTTGTGCCTAGATAGGCTTCAGAACATGTTTTTAAAACTTTACATTTGTATACTTCCTAGATGCACATGCACACCTGTTATTAACCCAACCTAGATGCTATTACAGTGGCATATGTTTTTGATTTTTTTAGCTATTAAAAGCTCAATCAATTAGCCATAATTTTTGTTATCTATTATTTATGTTATAACTGATAATAATTGTTTTTATAATTACAATTATATTTATAATAATTATTTATAGATCCAGGTGAAATATTATCCAATTGTTCATGTGTCTTGTTTCTTCATTGCCGTTTCGACGTGTGGCTACCTCGGAAGGTCGATCAGACTGGACGAGGTTCTCAAGTTCACCCAGTGCGATGCCGCAGTCGACCAACTCTATTCAACCACAGGCCTTATCGTTGCCAATCTGCAGTGCAATAATGTTGCTTCATACCCATCTTCACTCTCCATTTTGAGACTGTTCCTCGAGATTATTCTCCTCGACGTCAGGGAGGACATCTGCAGTGAGGTACTCGCCGACATCGTCAGCAAGCTGGAAGTCATTGCATGTCATCATTTGTTCCTGAAATATCGTGTTCGTTTTTAGGATTTTTTGACCATTTTATTAATACTTATTGCGCTCAGTGTTTTCTTTCTTATTTTCTGTTTGCTTATTTGGTGAATTATTCTAGTAAAATATTTACCGTGGCTCTTACTGTAAAATATGTTTGTCAACAGATTTTTTATGAGTTGACTGTATGTTAAATTTTCCATGTTAAGATTTTATCACTGACACAATTTGCAATGAATAAATGAATGCTAACATGTCATTTAGCAGATGGCCATATAAATGTAATTGTTTCTGGTGATATATCTTCATTATTCATTGTAGGTGTTCTAATTAACGTCAGCATTAAACAAATCAATGCCATGTTTTAGTTAATTAAGATGAATGATGACTTACTGGTGAACAATGATGTTATATAAAATGCAGCTCTTTCTTATATTTACATCAAATGCAGATGGACATAGTGGTACTGTCCTTATGTCAGTTGAATTTGGAAAGGATGAACCTTCTACAACACTTAGTCAGCGCTGATTCTATCTTTGAGCTACAATATTTCTGCCAGGTTGGAATATTTAATAATTCTTTTGAAATATGTATTTCTGTATATATTATTATCTTGATCTGTTTGTTTGTTTGTGTGTGTATGTGTGTGTTTGTTTGTATGTGTGTGTGTGTATGTATGTGTTTGTTTGTGTGTGTATGTGTGTGTTTGTTTTCGTACGTGCGTGCGTGTTTATGTGTAAGGATGGGTAGGTATCATGTGCTACTCTTCATTTTGCTTTACTTAACTTGGTTTTATGTTTTAATATTCAGATGGCATAGAATGTCTTAATAGTTAGTCAGATAAAAATTAATTACATGAACATATTCCCACTTTTATAAATTTGGTATTTTTAGAAAGCTTATCACCTGTAATTAATGGGAAAAATGACAGGAATTGACACGGGAGTCAGGAAAATTTTTTATTGACAAAAATTCAAAATGGCCGCTACACATATATACATTACATTGAAATTGAACCATTGATCGATTCATACATTTGTATTCTATATTTAAATTTGTGGTAATGTTGTGATTGTTCTGAATAATTAAAAATCAATATTATTGAAAACAACACAATTAACAATTATTTTATTACATATCAAAATATACTCCAGTTTCAACGATTTCTTCGTTCAACCATGTTACATCATCGAAATAAATTGTATTTTCATCATATCCAAGTGTTGTGTTCTCTTCATCATATAGCCTACCTCAATATCTTCCAGGAAATCAGTGTCATATGCTTGAGAAGTTGTTAATTGTTCGCTGTTGTCACATTGTTCTCCATAACAATTTTTGCATGCGGCCACACAATGTAAGCCATGCTTACGACAAGTACAGAGTTGAGAATTACAACCTGTTTTGCATTTGCAACTGATCACACTGAGCAGCATATCTTCTGGTGCTGGTGGTAAATCTGTAGTGATCGGCACATATTCTCCATTTTTCATAATTGCATGTATTGTCAAAAGTTGCTTTGTAGCTTTGTTTCTGATAGCATTGTATATATCAACCACTGGTATCAATTGGATCCGTGCAGAGCGAGTTCAATTCATTTCTGACAACATGTATATGCTCCTCATTTCTGGCTTCCAATAATAAAGAAGCATGACCAATATGTCGGTGTCATCAGCAACAACGGCGACATTTTGTTCAGCTGATGCTATGTTAATTGCAGTTTTCACAATCAACGTATCTGCGTCATTTAAAGCCTTAATAACGGTAAATCCATGCATGTTTAAATGATTTGATAACAACTCAATAAATGATTTTTTGTTGTTGCGATTCTGCAAAAATTTTGTTTGATTTTGGTAGACAGGTGTCCACTCTTGAAATATTATGTCTGGTGAAGTGGATGAAACTCTTCTTAAGTGTTCGTGGTCCTTTGTGCTAGGACCGTTACCATACCCGTCAAATACAATGCAACAGTTCGGATATCTTTTTTTCACATATTGTATGTACATATTCACAATATCGAGGTAATTAATGTTGAAAGCATTGCTCTAAGTTCCCATTTTGTGACATTATGACCAGTAGCCTTGCAAATAAAATTTGATGATTAATAACAACTTCTTCTCCACGAACTCTAACTTTTGTGCACAGATGAGAAAGGGTACGAACTTGGTCAGCTCTCTTCATCACCACATCTGAAAAACTGACATCATTCATCTTAAGCATAATTTTCAAACCAATTTCTTCCGATTGATCACAATTTATGTTGTCTGCATCAGCTGCAATTATTCCATTTGAAATGCAACGAAGATTGTTCTCAGAAACGTCAAAAGGGTTTTGTATTTATAAAAACTTTAATATTTTTCCTAAATCCTGAAAATCTCTTGAAACCCTTGACTTTCCAAGATCAACATGTATGTCGTTTTCAGATGTTACATCCATACCAACCAAAGAATTAACAGATGCGTGAACACCGGCACATTTATGCAAACTGTGCACCCAAATAGCTCTTACGCTTTCATTCATTCCTCTACCGTGCGTCAATCCACCTCTGCATCATCACTTGCTCAATTGCAAGGTCCGTAGAGAGGCCACCCCAGTATCTGTCTAAACGTCGAACAGCATGAAAGCCGGAGTAGAAAATATCATTGATCCATGGATATCTATCTGGCAATTCGAGCATCAGTTGAAGGCAGAGTCTGGCACATTTGGCGTAATTATTATGTCCGGTCGCTGCAAAAAGATTCAACATTTTTGAAACACCTACCAAATGAAGATTCCAATCCAATGGCGGATCCAGAGGGGGGCGGTGGGGGCGATCGCCCCCCCCCCCACTTTGAACTGAGGTTTGATATTTTATGAAATAAATAACAAAAAGCCAAACACTTCAACTTCTTGATTTTTTTTAAATTGAAAAACATTCTTCAAAACATTGTTCTGTTATATACATGAAATATTTACAAGACAAATGTCATTTTTCTACATTTTTTTCGGCCAAACCTTGTTATAATGTCTTCAATATCTAATTCAGTATCGCAATGAATGTTCATTAAGGCTAATCCCGTTAGTCTTTCCTCTTTCATTTTGGAGCGCATCCACGTTTTTAACCGCCTCAGGGTAGAAAATGAACGTTCTGCCGTTGCTACTGAAACAGGCATGGTGCACAATATTGACAACAGGCTGTGAATTGTCAGATAGAGATTGGAATTGCACAATGCGAGAGCTTCAATGGCCGTTTTGGGCTGTGAATTCATCTTTACCCAGTACTGCGTCCAGAGCATTTCTTCATTGCGTACAAATTCAATGGCCGTGTTTTCATCATACGAGGTCAAATTTGTTATTAAACTTTTATATTTCGTAACAGCTTGGTCAATTAAAAACCATGTTTTATTCTGTTCTGCTTTACCACTTATTCGGAGGAAAACTGAAGGTATCAAACGACTCAAACCCATTATAGCTATTTGGATTGTTCCAAATTTTGATTTCATGTCTGTTATCATACTATCTAGCATGGGAATAAATATAGCAATCCTGAAATATTCTTCTAATGAGTTACTTTTAATATTTGCACGATTTACTTGTCTTTCTATACATCTTGGCATTTTTAATTTAATATTCAGTTCCTCTGCAACTTTAGAAACTCTCGTAAAGATATCATGAAATATTTGCTCAACATTTTCTCTTCTAGATTGAAGATTATCTATGACTCTATTAGCATGTTGAGCTGCCTCGACCAAATCTAAATTTTCTGTTTGTAAAACTTTGCTTAGTGGCTTAGTTAGAATTAATGGATCGGCAATTGAGTACAAAGCTATTAAAAATTCAGAATCAGTTAAAGCCGATAACAACGTCTTTGCTTTGGATGATGTTTCTCTGTCATGCCAATTAACAATATTTTCTAAAGAAGCTAGAACATATTGCAGGGACTGTCTAAAACTGATAATCAAATCATGGCATTCAACCCAACGTGTCTCACATAAAGGCATGACATTTTGTCTCAAATTATGACTTTCATTTTTAAACATTATTCTTTGCACTAATTTTCTTTTGGCCGATGCGCGAAAAAAGGAAGCCGTTTGCTTAATAGTGCCCATTGCATTTCTTATGGCTTGTACATTGGATGTTTTAGATAAACTCAAGTTCAGTCCATGGTTAGTACAAACACAATGAATACATGATGTAGATTTTTTTGATATTTCTGCAGCTGCACCACATGACTGAGATGTCATGACAGAACATCCATCTGTTCCACAACCAACACAATGCTGTGGATCTAAAGTTAGCGCTTTTAGTAAACGTAACACTGAGCCGGCTAACATTTTTCCGGTTAATTTTGGTTCCGATTCTATATCTTTGTATGCATCCTCTAGAGAATCCACAAATGCAACAAAATCTTCTCTAACCTGGCCGTTGTAAACATATCGTAAGCTCAAAGACACTTGCTCAATACCATATATGTCAGTTGTTTCATCAAATAAAACTGAATAAAATTTGGCTGCTTTAACTCTCTGTACAATAGTATCTGTAATAATATCGCCAATTGTGGTTATGATTTCATTTTGAATCGTTTTGCTTATGTATGTCGCATTTGATTTAGATGATTTTAAATGTTCTTCAAGAACATGGTTTCCAGCATCGACCCTAAACTGAAGTAGTTCTCTGAAATTACCCTCATTTCTAACTGGACCGGTACCATATACCCCTTCATTAAGCATGTCATTGTCCAAATTTTCATCATCATTATCAGCATCGCCTGATCATTAGTACTTATATTAAGTTTTCCGTCATCTCGATGTCCTCGTAGAGGAATATTTTGTTTTCCCAAAAAAATAATAGATTTAATTATGGGCTTCAATCTTTCTCTGTTTTCCTTCATTTGCTGATATCTTGCGGAATAGAGTTGATTAACAACTTCAAATGATGGATTTTGGTATGATTTGACAAAATCATTGCCCCTCTGAACTGACTCTTTGTGATACCTGTATTGTTCATGACAGCTGAGATCACCATCTTTGCCTAATAATTTTGCAAATGATGTAAGTGGTTTTTTTACTAATTTTTGCAATGGCGTTTGATGACTAATACCGCCGGTGTCAGCCATTAGAGCACAATACCTGCAAAATAAACCTTGTTCCACATGCGAGTATGTCAACCATGCATTAAATGTTTCCAAGTGACTTTTCAAAATGTACCGTTTTTCATTTTTACCATTTTTAATATGATTTGAATATGGAAATTTGTAGCCAAATTCTGGTTTCCATGGATTTTGTAGAAGTTCAAATTTTATATCATCATTAATTGTTTTATTACTGCTGCCCACATACAGTCCAATATCATTATTATGTACAAAATCCATTTGTTGATAGACTTTTTCATTATTCTTTATCTTGTTATCTTCGTCATTATCGTGCAAAGCTACTTGCTCAAATGATTCATCATTTTTAACAATCACTTTTTTATTATGATTATCGGAACTATTGCCTTCATGTAGTTCTAAAAAATAAACTAAATTTAACTTAACTCTGAACACTTATTTAACAATTTCTATGCTACTAGTGAACAAATTCATATCGTATGGTGATCTAACCTGGTGGATGTGCCCTTTTAGTTCGCTTCACAAAACGATCCATATATATTTAAATTAATCTTCTAAAAAAAACTGAAAATATGATTATGAATTATGATACTTATACAGTACTATTACTAGCGCAACTCAAATTTGAATTTTTAAAATGAAAATCAGACGGAAGAAGCGTTCAAAAAATTTTCAAGTGTATTTTGCCGCGTGGGTGCGTTCATAATTTTCCTTTGATCATTTGTAATAAAAATTATAAATAAATCAAAGTAAACATAAAACATTATATTATTCAATTAATTTACATTCTAAAATTTATAATCAAAAATGGATATATTCAACATTACAAAATATTTATTTAAAAATTTTCGCCCCCACCAGTCAAACTTCCTGGATCCGCCCTTGTTCCAATCACAAGTGCGTTCAGCACGAATGACTGTTTTCAAAACATCAATATACTTAAGATATTGCAACCATAGCTTTGCTGTCCTTGATCTGTTTGCTATGTTGGATTTATATGCTGACAACGCCCTGTCCAAATTGATCATTGATTGTGGATAGTCAACGTCATTTATGTTTACTTTTCCATTATTAACCTTATCATAGAACGAAAGAAGTTCATTAATGTCATCATGTGAAATTGATCCAGTGACTGGTGGTTCATCTGTATTTAAAACATTCTTCATTATCATGATATGGAGAGCTGATTCAATTAGAAAATGACCCCGAAGTGCTCTTGCCACAGCCTTGCCACTCAACATATGTATAATAGCGTTGGAGCCATAACAACATTCAAGAATTTCAGAAATCCCTGAGCCAGCCATCACAGTACCAATACTTCCGAGAAAATTCATAATCATGTGAAATGTACCAAGCCGGCACACCATACCAAGCGATTCTGATTCAATGATTTCTACCGCCTTTATCCACAATGGCTGATCGAAAGTTATGCATGCCGTTTCAATTTGAAGTTTAGATGCCTGATTGCGTACGTAAGATAACGTTGATAAAATGCAAGATCTGTCGTTTGGATTTTGATCCAAAATTAGCTGCATTCGTATGTCTGCAGACAATGAATGTTCACCTATGTTCACATCTTGCATGTATCCAGACCAGTTTGGTTGAGAATCAGCTTCCCCTCGATTGTAAACTCCAAATTGCCATAACAAATCATGATTAGTACTAGCCGGAAGACTGTACGGATATTGCAGTTGGATGAGTGGCTTAAATTTAAGTTTTGACAAAACTGGTATGTTGGGTGCATAATAACGCAGCATTGGTACATGAGTTTTTAAAGCTATGCGGGCAACATTCACACGTGCAAGTCTTTTAATCAATTTAAATTCACTTGTGGATAGGGTTTCATCTTCAGTTATGGTATTCATATTTATTTTTGTTGTCATGGAGATCATACCCATTCCGTGAAACGTTCCCAAACCATCTACTGTTGTGACAATTATGGTCAACGTTGTCACCAGACCACTGTGTGAAAAAATCAGGACTACTTGCAGGCAAATTAGCATCTTCCGTTTGCACCACTGATTGCTTATAACGAGTAATTTCATCAGGGGAAATGGATAATCCCAATCTTGACAAAATATGTAAAATTCCAGTTCCACCTAATTTGTGGTCAATAGATATTCCCACGCCAAACAAAATAGGAGATATAACTGACTTTGGTCGACTGGCTTGCACTATGCAATGCCCTAGAGAAATTTGTTTCATTTCATCACATATCATTTTTTTGAGAAAAGTTAGTAGTAGATCAGGCACCCATTCAGACATAACAATTTTGTCTTTTATTTGATTTTCAGCTGGATATGATTCGGTGTCGAATATTTTCTCACGGATGCTGTTCTTTATGAGCTTTGCAGCTGTTTCGACAATTCTCTTACTTTCCGAAACTATATCACTTTCTCGTTCTGAATACCATGAGTCATTAATTAAACGTTTTGCAGTATTATTAAAGCAAATGACATTTTTGCGGTTACTGAAATCAGCAATGAATAGGTCGTCCCCATATCTTTCATATAGTTTGCTTTTCATATAACGCGATGAATAAACATCAGATGGATCATCACACAAAAGTGTCATCTCTTCAATGAGATTATCGACTGTTAGGAGTTCGGAATCTGAATTTTCAAAATTATTACAAATCATATCGAATATTTCAGCTGCATTTTCGTGTGGAGGGCGACCGACAGGTTTAACTTTTTGAGGTGGTGTCACAAATTTTCTACAACAGTTCTTGTGATAAACTGCATCTGCTGCATGCAAGTCACAACTCGTCTCAATCCGGCCACTCACTTCAAATGCCCATTTATCTTGTTTTTCCCTGCATACTCTCTGAATTGTTGAATGTATGGTATCAGTTTTGGCCTGACAAATTATATCCTTTTTTTTTGGATTTTTAACATCAACAGCTGCAGGTTGTGCACATAAAAAACAATTTTTTTCCAATTAAATTTTTCAAAACCGGATCTAAGAAATTTTTTAGCTACTGTTTCCTCATTTGCGTCCAATGTGCGTTTTATTTTTTCTGTAGGTATATACGTGTAATTTTTTCGACATTTCTCATGCACCTTAATGACAGGTTGATTACTTGACAAGTAATTGAATAAATCAACATCTTTGCGTTTACAGCTGTAATCTATCAAATTTGATCTACCCTCCGTCTTCACTTCAGCCAATTTAATGTCAGTACCTTCGTAGTCTCGACATATTACACATGCATTAACGTCAAATTGGACTACTGTATCCATGACAACTACAATAATCTGTAATAGAAACGCAGTAACACTATTAGAAGAGGTACAATTAAAAAAAATTGTCACTGTATTTATTGAACTTAACTTCACCGCGACTATGTTGTAGTGGTTAGTGTGTTGGTCGATGATGTTCAAGTCATCGGGTTCGAAACCATTCTATGCCATATGTCTAAGGTTATCATATGGGCAGTTGGTTGTTGGTTGAGCTATTTAAAGAAACATTTGTTGTTTACTGCTTGCTCAATTGTTACAATTTGATGAAAATGTTATATAGATCAGTACTACATATGCCTGAACTGTCTTTAAAATGGTTTGATAGTTTAGTTTTTGTAGTAGGATGTTTTTAGTTTTATCATTTTGATAATTTCTATCTTTGTTCCTCTACCTAATTTTTCAGACCTTCTGTTGTTACTTTTTTTTTACTGCTCATGCTATGACATCTGGCATAGCTATGTAATTAATGCTGTTGCAAACAGATTATTATCTACATTTTGGTAATGATTTAATGACAAGAGTCAATAATATGTTACTTGAAGAAATCTGAATTGAATTTTCTGACTTGTTATTTGCTTTTTTAATTAATAATAAGTATTGTATTGTTTTTGCTGTGAAGATCTAACAACTGAATGAATAGGGTATTGTTGTAATCTCAATTCAAGTGCATTTTCTGAGTAGTGGTTATCATTACTGTTGAGAAGTATAAACTGGTTTTGCCTATGAATAATGATCTTATGATTCATTTGTGCTTTCATGAGCTGGCACTTGGCTTTTTACTTTTAAATAAAATTTCACAGTTAATTAATTTTTTTAAATGTGAGTTAATCCAATGATACCAACCTATCTCTGGTTCTCTGGTTTCCTTGTTCGTCTCTAATGAGGGTGAAGGAATTGAAAAATATGATGATGGTGGTGTGGGAGAGTAGTTGTTGTTGATTTTTAAAATTCTTAAAATTGACATAGACTTTTAAAATTTCACGCAACCTCCAACAGATGGACTACAAGCAATACAGCCAGTGCATGATAGAGGTCGATCGATGCCTCGTCGACTACGACAGACACAGGGTAAGCCGTCCAAACGTCAAGCTGCAGTGGACCGTTTCGAGGAAGTTGCTGACCAAGATGAAGCCTAGTACTAAGATGTTTAGTAATCTGGAGTTACTTGCTGAGTTGGAGGAAGAAGAAATGAATTATGCCAGTAAGGATGGAGGGGATGTGGAAGCACGAGAGAAAATTAGTTCTGATTCCTTTGTTGCTGATGCTGAAGATGATGCTGAAACCAAAGAAGATGATGATCTTACAGGATGCTCTATTCAGGAGATGGAAGACGACGCTGCTTCTGTTGCTGCTGAGAACAATGATGCTGTCTATGCTGATATTCTTTATTATAATAATAATGATAGTAATGTAGTGATGTATAATGGTTACTCAGTTGAGAATGAAAATAATGATGAAGCTGATGATGGGACTATAAATGTCCATGATAGTGATGATAATGTTGAGGTTTATAATAGTGAAGATGACAATGACAATGATAAGAGCATTGCTAATGATAGTGGTGTAGGATGGGATGTCAATTCTGGCAATGGTGATGTCATTTCTAACAATGATGATATCATTTCTGGCAAGGATGATATCAATGCCAATAATAATGATAGTAGTGATGATATTTATGACGCCAACAATTATATCAATGATACTAATGATGATATCAAGGATAATAGCGATAACGTCAGTGCTGATAATAATAACTACGATGATGATTTTACTGCTACTGAAGAGTTTAACCCCAGGTTGGTTTTCTATCATTTTGTTATTTTTACATTTGCATATACCATATACCTCCTGTGCTGTTGTTGTATTGTATTGTATGCTAAATAATGATGCATATATAATTTTTATTTTTGTATATTTCTTTCTTTTTGCATTATATATTATTTATATCTAGTTTTTTTTCTCCAGTCTAAAGTAACATAAAAGTTTATTTTAAAATGTTAATTTATCCCTAATACATGTCTAAACTTTTGAAATGTTTTTATTCTGTACGTGGATACTTACATGTAGAATCAGCATCAATAACAAATTTCAGTAATAGCATCCATTAAAAGCGATAATAAATAGTCGCAAATATGTTACTTATTTGCACAACTCTCTCTTTATGTCTTTCCACCTTACTCTAGTTCTTCCTTTCTTGCAAGTATTTAACACATGCACATAAACACCAAGCACTTGAACAAACATATGTACATTCATCGTACATACATACATACAAAGTACATATAAACGTACGCATTCATATGCATAATTTGACATACTACACACACGAGCACGTGTACATAAACACAAACACACGCACATACACACATACGTGTTTGCAGATACATACACACACTCAGGAAGATATAAATTTATTTAACCAGATATGAAAAGACAGCTGATAGCGACAGTAGCTCTGGTGAAAGCTCAATATCTGAATTGGTTCAACAGCAACGTGGAAGTTGTAATGATGATGCTGAGGAATGTGATGTCATTATTGAAGTTGCTGATGTTGGCTTTGATATTGCAAAACACCATAAAGGAGGCGATGACGACGACGATGATGATGTTATGGGCGAAGCTTACGTCAGCCACAACACTGAAAGTTGCAATGATGAAAAATCTGATGCTGGCGTGGTTGTTGATAGTATTGAAGAAACAACATCTATTATTAATGAGCAAGCGAAACCAGTGAACAACAACAGCAACAACAACATCAGTACATTTTCGGACGCTGGCGACGACAACAACAACGACAACAAAGTCAATTGTAACATTAAGAAACAACCTGCCAAGAAGTATAAAAAGAATAAGAACAAATCTGTTGACAACGAAGCAGCAAATCTGTCCGTCAGCTCTCCCGACAAACAACAATCCAACAACAACAACAACAGCAGTCGTGACATCTACAGCAACAAAGAGGCAGACCAACCAGCATACACGGCCGTAGATAAAAACACTTTCAGTAATGTGGAAGAAATGTTCCCCATGGATAAAAGATGCCTCGTCTTCATTCAATCCTACGTCAACAGGAACCTGCACCCGTTGGAATACATGGAAGAGGTGGAAATTTTGATGCGCAATTACTTAGACATCATCGTCTTCATACTCAACTATGCTTTCGGTAAAGGAGACCAGCCGGAGAGAATGGCTATGGCAGCAAGCAAGAAAGGAAACAGGAGAAGCAGGTATTACAGCAGGAATGAAATAAATGGCGCTAGTAAGAGTAAGAAGGTACTGAAATAAAGTACTGCTGCTTCTGCTCCTACTTTGTTGTAAGTTTTCATCTCAATCTCATACTACATTGCCACTACTTCGAATCCAGCAATACAACACAAACACCACTACTACAATTACTACTACACGTTACTTACCACCACCGCCACTACTACTACCACCACTACTACTACTACTACTACTTATGCTAGTTGTCATAGGTACCTCACATTAAAAATTGCCAGCAACAAGCAAACAATCAGACAGGTTGACCTGACCTGACAATCCTTTTCAAACACAGAAGATACAACATTCAGGCAGAGAATCACTGCACGTACACACGCACGCACACACACACACAAATAAATTTTTTTGTTAAGTCAACAAGAGAAAACTCCAAATCATTGTTTCCTACATAGTGCCGAGTGTACATTGCAGGTGATGTCCGTCTAATCCAAATCATATATATATATATATATATATATGATTTTGCTTCTTTTGCTTCTCATCAAAAGATTGACAGTTACTATGCACGCTCATGCATTAATACAGAATGAACCTGTATCAATGCATTCTGCATGCGTGCGTTCATCCATTCATTCGTTCGTTCGTTCATTCGTTCGTTCATTCATTTGTTCGTTCATTCATTTGTTCGTTCATTTCGTTAAAACGTGTCTGCACGCACATGCCAAAACAATTGTGTGATAGGTACATGCAGGCATGCATGTCTGTGTATGTGTTGGTTTGTTTATTTATTTATTCGGTTATTAATTAATTAATTTATTTATTATTTATTAATTTGTTTGTCATTTCTCTAATCAACAAATCTCTATCACTCACTGAGTGAGTTCATTCCATCTGCTGATAACATACATATGTATATGTATGCGTTGTACACACACACGTATGTGTACATGCATACGCATATACACATACGTGTGTGTGTATATATATATATATATATATATATATATATATACACATACATATATATGTATGTGTATATATTTACGTATAGGTATTCCTCTATCTATCAGATGTAGTACAAATTATTTTCAAGTTATATAATGATATTATATACATACATAGATATATTTATATGTATGTATGTTCATATATACATATTTATGTATGTATGCATGTATATATAGCATAAAATATGTGATGTTTTTAATAAGTTAATTCAGTAGCTTAATTGTTAAAACTTATTATTATTGTTGTAATTGCTATATTAAGATGTTTTTAGTTTTCATCACAAGGCATTTTTTTTTATAGGTATGCAATTCGTTTGATTGCATACTGATATATTTGTGTGTGCTTGTGCGCGCGCGTATGTGCGCGTGCGTGTGTGTGCGTGCCTATATGTATTTATGTACTTCTCGAAAGATAAACCTTGTCATTTTATTCATTCATTTTCGTCATTGTATTGATGATGACGACGACGATGATATGATAGTAAGAGTTGTTGGTTTGTGATATTTGTGATGATCATCGTTTAGTGAGTGAGTGGGTGAGTGAATGAGTGAACGAGCGAGTGGGTGAGTGGGTGGTTGAGTGAGTATGGCGATTACGATTGTGATGTTAGTGATTGTTATTTAGGATGAAAATGATGATTTTTGTTGTGATCATTTTATCTACTTTGAGGTGATATTTTTAAATATACTTTTTTTTTATCATTCATTCAGAAATGTAAAAGCTCTCTCGCTCCCTCTCTTCATCTGTCTAGTTAATCTAACATGCAATGGCATCTATTTCATAATATGCACTATTCAATTAATGATATAGTTTATTTTCTTTCACTTTCCTATTAGTTAATTTTGTTTTAACTAGTTAATTCGTTAATTAATTGGTTGTAATTAATTAGTTAATTAACTCACCTGCAGTTAACTGTTATTTATCATTGATATATTTATTTACCATTTTAATGTCATCACCATCTTCATCACTATTCTTACGAGTGTATAATGTTGCTCGTGTTTTTGATAGTGCTGTTGATTGTTGTTATTATTATTTATTATTATTATTGTTATTGTTATGATGATTGTTTCTGATAAATATATTTCATATTTCTTTGGCCTACTTTCAAATGATTACATATTTAATTCAGTATAAGCAATTTTTTTAATATTTTTTTAAACAGTTAATTTAACGCTAGTTTCTACTTTAGTATTAACAGTAATCTGCTATTATTATTATTTTTATTATTGTTGTTGTTGTTGTGCTCTTTTTGTCAATTACTCCCCGCTGCTTAATGCATTTAAAAGTACTCTCATATACGTCGTTATCATCGTCATCGTCTTTTATTGTTATTATTATTATTATTATTATCTAGTTTACTGTTCATAATAATAATGTTCATCATTATTATTCAGCAATTATTTTTTAATTATTCCTGCTAATTATGTATTTATAATACTCCTAAATGACGAGTTATCAATAGCATTAACATATACATTTATATATATATTTTATATATATTATATATATATATGTGTATGGGTTGTTGTGTGTTGTTTAAAATGCATAATTATTGCTCCTAATCAATTTGAGACCTGCTTATTTCAGTGATCATTCGTTCATTTCATTCATTCGTTCGTTTGTTTGTTATTTCTTCGTTCATTCATTCTTTTGCATCTCTCTCTTCTCTCTCTCTCTCTCTCTCTCTCTCTCTTTCTCGTTTCTAAATTTGATGATAGTATGTGGTTTGCTTTGTGACATTCATTTTATGATTTCGTTGATAGATTGGTTGGTTGGTTGATTGATTAATTGATTGATTGATCGATCGATTTTTTCATTCATGGTTGATGGTAGTAACTAATTTCAATCTTATTTCAACGTTGTTTCATTATTTTTCTAAGTCCCTGTCACCTTTCTATATTTCGTTCTATAATAATGTGTGCTGCAAATTATTATTATTATTATGATTATTATTCATATTATTATTATCTTATTATAATAATTATATTATTATTGTCGTTCATAATTATTATTGATTTTACTTTTTAACATACTTGATCGGTTATTTTAGCTGCTCATTGGTCGTTCGCTCGGATAACGATGACGATACTTCTGTTTCATTCATTTGTACGCTTCCATATTAATAATCCAGTCCATTCTTCTTTCATGAGTTTTTTTTTTTCATTTATTTATTCAAATTTTATTGCACAGTCGTTCATTTGTTCCCTCGTTCATTCGTTAATTCATTCGTTTATTATGCATTCTCTCATTCATCCAATTCAGTGCTCTTTTTTCTCTCAATCCGGCATATATATATATATATATATATATATATATATATATATATATATATATATATATATACTCACACGCAAGTTATATATCTATATAAAATTTGAGATGCATTAACATATCCCTGATGATGAAGTCGATGTCATTGTTGTTGTTTGTTGTTGTTGTTGTCATTCAAGTTGTTGTTTTTGCTGCTGTCGTCGTCGCTGCTGTGCTGTGTTGTTGATTATTATAGATGTATGCAATTAAACTGTTGACATTGTTCATTTTGATTGAACTTGAACCAAGCTTAATGCTCACTCGGTGTGTGTGTGTGCGTATGTGTGTGTGTGCATGTATGCTTGTGTGTGTAAAGAAATAGTTTATAATAATTGTGATGCTTGAATGCCTGGCTTGGATGGTTTGATGCATGCATATTTATTGTCTACGAGTCAAGTTAAATCACAACGTGAAAAAAATGCATTATTCAATCACCATTACAACTAATTATTATTAAATATTGGTATTGTTGGTATTAAACGATCAATCAAATCTATAATTAGAGTGCTTTTCACATACACACATACAAATACATACTCACAAATTCACACGCACGCGCACATACATACACGGACGCACGCACACTGAAGCTTCAAACAAAACACCTGCGTTGCATTCAGCCGCAAATATTCAATAATAAAATACTATCACACTACTACTGAATCTCACCCAACTCCATTATACAAACATTCATTCATTCATTCATTCATTCATTCATTCATTCATTCATTCATTAATACATTCATTTATTCGTTCATTCATTCGCCCACTTAATCATCCTTTCTTTCGTTCGTTCAAGCGTTCGTTCGTTTAACACACTTAACAACAAATCAATCAAAAGCTTTTTTTCTGTTTAACGATCAATAATAAATTATTATTTATCTTCGAATGGATGGTCCATATACAAAATGTGTACGTTATATACGTATTATATAAGTCTATAATTAAATCTAATACATATAATATGTGCGAGTGTGGGTGTGTGTGCGCGTGTGTGTGTGTGTAAATACCATAATTGCAATGTTCAATGTGTCTTTCAGATATAAAGATTTCCCTTCTTGACATTTCTGCTTAGATACTCATTGTTTTGTTAATTAATTAATTAATAATCAATTAATTAATTGATTAATTGACTGATTGATTAGTTAATTGATTGATTGATTGATTAGTTAATTGTTTAATTAATAATATAAAGAATGATTGATATAGGCGTGATGGGGTCGTTTTTTTTTTATTTGATATATTTTTATTATATATAATGATGATAATAATTTGTAATTAATTATGTTATTGAGTTTTCATTTAATCAATTAGTTAATTAATTGAATTAGTTAATAAGATAGTGCTTACTTGTTAACTTTCATACCTGTCATTGATAAAATTGCATCACATTGTTAAAATCTGGTTGGTTGGTTGATTGATTGATTGATTGATTGATTGATTGATTGATTGATTAACGACCATTCATTCATTCATTCATTCATTCATTCATTCATTCATTCATTCATTCATTTATTTATTCGTTCATTTGCTCGTTCGTTCATTCATTTATTTGCTTTCCATTTTTGTATTAATTACACGGTAGTATTCACTCTGATATCTCGTCAGTGATAATTATTTTTAATTATTTTATTATGATTTAATTATTTTAATAATTATTATTAAAGTTTTTCTTCATTATCCCAGCAGCAACCCACCCCATTCATCCATTCTCTTTTTTTCATATCATCTTGGCTATTTAC